GCAAAGGAATCTTTCAGCCTCACCATACACTCAAAATCCAATTGGAAAACCCACTAGAAAATAATCTAGATATCAATTTAATCTGAGTATATCTGGCAATGTCTGGAATCATACTCATGCTCCAACAACATTCTTTCCTGTGAAATCTTGGTGCCTTTCAGGCTGTAAATCACACAAACAATCACATCACATATACACTTCAAGCTCAAGGTGATCATCCATGGTGTACTCAGATGACAAACAGCTGGAACGCTAGAGCAATAGCCTAGCCTTACAACAACAGGGAGAGGTCTGGGCTAGCAATCCAAAGTTCCGTGAAAATGGTAATTTACGATGAGACCAAGTCCTTTGTCCGCCATCTGGGGCTTTGCACAGCACTTTTTGGGAGTTTACTCCCCTGCATACTTCGAGCTCGAGAATCTAATGAAGAATGGAGACGTTACTCTAAGCCTAAGTTTTTTCATTTCTCTTCCAGACTAACAAGTCTTTTGAGCATTTTCATGAAGTTTTGGAGAAGTTTGAAGTTCTAAATTTTCGTGAACTTCGGGAAAGTTTTCGAAGTTCCAAATTAAGTTAGAAAAGCTTCGACGTGAATAAGGAGATAGACAATGACGACATCCCTCTCTTGCTCAAGTCAAAGCATATTCGAGTTCGATACCTTGTTAAGTCGCATCTTTACGAAGCATATTCTTCCTGACTTAAACCCTAAGCGAGGAGCTGGATCCAAGGCGATTCTGAGAGCTGGATCGCGATGAGGCCTTCTACAGCTCTCGGCATGATGGTCAAGGTGAGGTTTCTCTTCTGGGACGATCGATCCAGGAACTTTGGGCATAGATAAGGGCAATCGATAGATTTCTAGATTGTCCGGTGCCTGCATTCGCTAGGACGCGCAATTCGAGGCGAATTTGTGATGGTTTGCATCGGTGCAGGGTGTTGGGGGATTCGTTTTTGGAAGCGGAGATCATCCGCCAGAGGACGATGGGTAAGTCGACTCTCTGGTTGTTCTTGAAGTGATTTTGGATTGGTTTTTCTAGTGGAGTGGAGCAATTGCTTGAGACTATCAGCAATGGTACGCTCGCTGTGGACAGGCGAGCTGCCATGGAGGAGCTTCGTGTTCTCGTGGACGAAAATCGCCAAGCACAGCTGGCCTTTGGAGCCATGGGTATTTTATTCTAACTCTAGTTCTCTACTTTGTCTACTTCGTGTTTTAAAAAGCGTTGCTTTGCAGGATTTCCGGTGCTCATTGGTGTGCTCAGAGACGATCGTGACGACGTAGACATGGTGAGCGAGCGTAATTTTTTTATCGCGAGCTTTCTATTCTCTGGTTGACTTACATAATGAATCAAGGTCCGAGGAGCGCTGGAAACTCTCGTTACTGCTTTAAGCAACGCGACTCAAGATGACCACGGGCAGCTTTCTCCTGGTCTTGTGAACTGTGAACTGCTTGCAAGGGAGCAGAACATCGTTGCGTTGCTTTTGAGTTTGCTGGTAAGCTAGGAAACTTTATGGGAACTATCTTATCAAATGTCTTCAGGAGGAGGAGGATTTCTACGTCCGGTACTATGTTCTTCAGCTTCTCACGCTACTTCTGTCCGTTTCACCAGCTAGGTGAGTTGCCGTCGCAAGCTTCGATACGTAAATCTAAAAGGTGTGCGCTTGAAGATTGCAAGAGGAAGTCCTAGCAACACCGCAAGGCATCACAAGACTCATGGATATGATGCTGGAGCGCGAGGTCAGCAAGATGTAGACGGCTGAAACGCTCACATGATAAACGTTTGCAGGTGATCCGGAATGAAGCACTTTTGCTTTTGACTCACCTTACCCGTGCAGCCAAGGTGGGACCTTTGATGTATTTGAGCTTTCGTTTATGCTTGTTTTTCTTTTCTAACAGGAGATTCAAAAGATAGTTGTTTTTGAAGGCGCTTTTGAGAGAGTGTTTCACATTGTAAAGGAAGAAGGAGGATCGGACGGAGGGATCGTTGTCCAGGTACAAGTTGGAGCTGATCTTTGAACCGTCTAAAATACTTCTATGATATGCAGGACTGTCTGGAATTGCTTAACAACCTTTTGCGCAATAATTCGTCCAACCAGGTATTCCTGTATGTTGGTGTTCAGTCTGACCGTCGTCGTTTGTAGGTGTTCCTTAGAGAAACCATGGGTCTAGCAAACGTGGCTTCTCTTTTGAGTTTGCGCAAAGGAGGCGGTGACGCCTCTCAGCAGAAGGTATTTCGAAGGTTATCGTATGTGCTTGGACTCTAATTTGGATACGATGTTCGCTGTTAAGACAGTCAGTGAACTTATTATGTGCTCTGGAAACAGTTGCCTTGTTACTAGCTGGGAGTGAAGACGTGGAGCCCGGGAAGGATGCAAACCTGGCTGCTAATAAAAAGCTTCTTGCTCAGGTACAACTTTGTCTTGCAATTATATACATGTACTTCATCGTGCATCCATTATAGAGTGACGTTCTCAGCTATTTGTTGGGGCTTAGCGTTGAAGGCAGGATTTCGGCAGTGGCTATTCGATGCCTGGTATGCTAATGTGGTGCCGAGTACCTCTAGACTTTAACTTGAGTTGGACGTGCAGGCACTAAAATGTGTCGGAGATCTTGTAAATGGCCACGCTAACAACAGAGACATACTAGCGAACAAGCTAGTCGGTGACGAAGGTGATGCAGAACCAGCTATGGTGTGCATTCTGAGAGTCTTACTACGTACGCCCAACATAAACGAGTGTATCGCCGCTGAGTACGTGATCAAATGCTTCTGTGAGGTTGGATCTTTCTTTACTGCTGTCTAGTTATTCACGCTATTTTCTTCAGGGCAATCCAGATGGTCAGACAATGCTGGCATCGACAATTACTCCACTACCTCAGTCGTCTAGGAGGAGAGAAGATGGTCACCATCTTTCATTCGGAAGGTTTAATTTCTCGTCGTATGGTGAAGTGAATGACGACAAGATTTACTTTGTTGTTTCAGCATGCTGATCCAGGCGCTGGTTGGGATTGATGGCAGAAATGACTTGGAGGTACGACCGGATTCGTCCTGACAGTTTGTATGATCTTTCTTCTGGCAGGCAAGTTGCAGAGCTGCAAGTGTTTTGTCTCACATTCTTAAAAACAACATCAAGTGCAAAGAACGGGTACACAAGATTTCATTACTTGTTATTTTCTGATAAAAGCTGGCCGGCCGTGCAGGTTTTGTCAATCCCTCTGGAGATACCTTCTTCGAGGCTTGCAACTCCGGAGCTCCTGTTGCCTCGGTGCATGAGATATCTAGCTGCCGCTTCAGCTTCTGTAAGACATGAAAGCGTAGACAACGTGAGCACAGCTTGGCTGCAACCGGTCATTCTGAGGCTATTGGTGACATGGCTTGCCGAGTGTCCACCAGCAGTATCTGCATTCCTGGAGACGGCTACTCACCTTCCGTTCCTGGTGGAGCTCATGTCTAGCAGTGGGTCGCCTGTAAGTGTTCACGTAGCTGGCCTCGCTGCAGTTCTACTTGGCGAGTGTATAGTGTACAACGAAAACAAGCCGTCACCCTCATCGTCAGCTGGGACAGATGCGTCTGCAGTCCTAGAGATGGTTAATCAGAGAATCGGGCTCACAGCATTCTTTTCCAAGTGGGAGGATATGAGACTAAGCCCCTTATTTATCGCTTCGTCGACACCGACTCGACTTCCGCAGGCACTTACGAGATCTACAGCAGCTGCAGTAGCTGCTGGTGACGGATTTATAGCTGCTGCTGCGTCCACTGAAGAAAAACTGGAGTTGGGATTACATTCCGGGGATGCATCTCCAGAGGCAGCTCTTCCACTATTCTACGATGCTCCATTCGTTCAGTTCATCAACCTCTTGGAGCCGGTTGTGCGGAACCGGATCGTGGAGCTGTTTACAAACCCGAAGAGTGGGGCAGTCACCGTGGAGGTGGCGGGGTGGGAACCTGCGGAAGGCGAAAGCGAGTCGGACTACACGACGAGGCTGAAAACTGTACTTCAAACTCAGGCTCAAGAAATACAGGTGCGTTTGTTTTTTCCCACGTAGAGGTGATGTTAACACTTAACTCTTGCTGCAGGAACTCTTGGCCAGAAACTCAGCACTCGCCGAAGATCTCCTCATAAACTCAAACGAAAAGGCCGTAGTTCAAGACTCGTCAACTCACCGGAGCAGTGCATCTCTGAAAGCCGACGTCGATCGCTTGAAGCAGCAGCTGGAAGAATCCCAGCAGAAAACCACCGCAGCGATCAACCAGAGCCGGGAGTTGGAGTCGGAGGTGGCCTCGTACAAGCAACTGGCGTCCAGGTACGAGGCGGAGCTCCAGAGCCTTTCGAGCGCTTACAACGAGCTGGAGAAGATGAACCACGGCATGGAGGGACAGATGAAGAGCCTGAGAAGCGTTGTGGAAGGCAAGGGAGTGTCGCTGAAGCCATCGCCGGAGGAGCTGGAGGCGGCCCGGGAGGAAGGCCGGGCCGAGGCACAGAAGGAGAACGAGGCGGAGCTAAACGACTTGCTGGTTTGCTTGGGCCAGGAGGAGAGCAAGGTGGAGAAGCTGAGAGCTCGGCTGGAAGAGCTCGGTGAAGACGTTGGAGCGCTCTTGGAAGGGATTGGAGGTGGAGACGAGGAAGACGAGGAGGACGAGGAGGAGCAGTGATCTTCCAAGGTTCTTCATGAAACTCTCATCCAGATCATATCACTGGGAGTTCCAGGTACTGGATTCTACTATGGTTTTTTCCTTTTCTTCTTTGGAAGGACGTTCTTCCAGATCGATTTCTCACTTACAAAGTTCCAGACGAAGCAAACTGGAAACGAAAGAACCGAAGAGTTTGAAAGAAACTTCCATTTTCTCTGTACAAACGAAGCACACTAAATTGACTGGAGGCATATTCTCTTGGAATCTTCCGCGTCATAACAATAAACGATTTGGACGACACGTGGCGGCAGCGGATTTGCCGTTGGTGCCATTTAATAGTGCGTGTGTTTGGCATTTTAGGGTTCTGGGGACGGAACGGCCGGGTAGATGCTCTAGCTCTGTCCTTGGCCAAGGATGAGCTCGGCGCCTCCCACAATCTCCGCGGACGCGATCGCCAGGCTGAAGAAGAAGGAGGATTTCCCGGATTCCAAGGTCGTGGGGGGGGCGGCGGGCAAGGAAGGCTCGTCATCGCCGGCGGCGGCTCTCCAGAACAAGACGGTATGGTCAAACTTCCCCAAGGATCTCATCGCGGGCGGGCTGATGGGCGGCGTGGCGCACACCATCGTTGCGCCCATCGAGCGCGCCAAGCTGCTGCTCCAGACGCAGGAGAGCAATCTGGCGATAATGCAGGGACGGCATCACCGCTACAAGGGGATGATCGATTGCATCTTCCGGATCGCCAAGGATGAGGGCGTGCTCTCCCTGTGGCGGGGGAATGGAAGCAGTGTCATGCGGTACTATCCGTCACTAGCACTCAACTTTGCCTTCAAGGTGTGTAGTCTCGTTCTTTCGTTCTTTCGTGGCTTCTTTCCTTCTCTCTTCGTTTTTCTTCCTCTTTGCGCTAGAGATTCTTCCTTCTCTTCGTTTTTCTTCCGGGATTCTTGCGCGTTTTTCGGATTGTTTACGTATAGTTTCGTCTCGTCGCAGTTCCTACCGGTTCTTACTTGCGATCCTTTCGTCCTCAGTTCTTGCGTCTAGTTTTCTTTATCCGTGGAACCTTTTCCACTCACTTCGTACCGCAAGTAGGGACTTACGGATGAAACCTTTACTTCCATTCTTATCATTCGAGCCTCCATTTTTTCCTTGTTTATCTGCTCTTTAAGATTCCATTGTTTCTAGCAAGTTGGAACCTTTTGTTCTTACTTATGAAACCTTTACTTTCATTATTAGAATCTTTGTCATGAGCTTACATTCTTTTTCTCTTTTTACAAGCTTTGCTTTTGACTCGGACTTTCTTCTTTGCAGGACTTGTACCGATCGCTACTCATCTCGGACAAGAACGACGCACTGTCAAGAGCACCCTTCAACTTCGTGGCCGGGGCCGCCGCCGGGTGCACCAGCCTCGTCTTCGTCTATCCCCTGGACATCGCCCACACGCGCTTAGCGGCCGATATCGGGAACCGCGACGCCAGGCAGTTCAAGGGACTCCTCCACTTCATCAGGACCATCTACCGCAAGGATGGCACTCGCGGACTCTACCGGGGACTCCCAGCGTCCATCCAGGGAATGGTCGTGCACAGGAGCGTCTACTTTGGAGGTTTCGACACGGCCAAGGACTTGCTCTCGCGAGACTCCGAGCACCTCCCTTTCTGGAAACGCTGGCTCATGGCTCAGGCGGCCACCACCTCCGCCGGCTTGATCTCGTATCCGCTCGACACCGTCCGGCACAGGATGATGATGCAAGCCGGCCTGGAGAAGAGAATGTACGTCAACACTCTGGATTGCTGGAGAAAGATTTACCGGATGGAAGGGGTCTCGTCCTTCTATCGTGGAGCCGTGTCAAACATGTTGCGAGGAACCGGCGCTGCGCTCATCCTGGTGCTCTACGACGAGCTCAAGTACCTGATGAACTTGACGGTGCCGCTCGACAGTGGAAACAAGTGAGATGATCCGGCAGTGCAGCTCTTCTCAGTTTTGTAAAAAGAAAGCAACGTCGGGAGCGAGTTTTGCAGCAGCCTACCTAGCTCCTCCTCCCGGAAAGCTCTCTCTTTGTTGATAGAAAGGGTCTGGAAGCGCGGCTATATTGTAATATAATGTTAGCATTCCATCAAACAAAAGCAAAAGGCCTTGAGCTCTACAAAGGTGGTCCTGTTTAGAGTCGTGCTTAGTAAACTGGCTATGCAAAGAAAGATGAAAAGCTTACCACTGACCAGAGTCTTAAGCTCCTGCTGTTGGATCGCCGATAAGGCCCAGGAAATCGTCCTTGATCGTCCCGATGCAGAACTATGTAGCGTACAGATATTTTTTAACACCAGTTTCGAGAAGCCGAGCGGAGCATGCTTACAATTTCAGTGGCGTCTACACGAGTTCCAACGATTTTAAGGCGCACCTCGCTGTCCTTTTGTATTCGGACCTGAGGAAAAAGAAAAAAAAAGTTTGAGGTTTTCCGGAAGAGCACACACACACATGCTCACCGAGCTATCAGATGTTTCGTAGCAGGGTACATCGCCGGACTGAAAGGACATGTCATCTGGAATAAGCTGCAGGCTTTCCAAGTTATTAAGAGAAAACGAGGAAGAACAAACAAACTTGAGCAAACTTACGTGGTTTGAGACGAAAATCTGGACTGGTCCGGCTTCTGCGAAGAATCCCATCTGCGAATTCACAAAAACGTAAGTATGAGAGATTTGGGAGAGGAGGAGGAGCCAACCTTATTGACCAGCGTCACGACCCCTTCAAGAATCTCGCCTTTGAAAGGGCGGAAGACTACGCACTGGTAGTGTATGGGAAAAGTTACGTAGCCAGTCCCGTCGCGAATGAGTCCCTTGCCAATCGTGTCCACTCCGGTCACGGCAACAACAAAGCCATGTCTTCCACTGGAAAGGGAAGAGCTAAAGGTTTAGAACTCCAAAGAGAGATTATCCAAACCAAATGAAAAACAAGGCCAAAGATAAGAACCACAAGAAATAAAAAACGCAACCAAAAATCTCACAGCGAAAAGCTTCTCTTTAGAGGAAAAAAAACAGGAAAACAAACCTTGCTCCTAGCAAGAACAATCCGAAACGAAAAAATCCTAGAAGGTAGAACAACCCGAAAGGAAAAGCTAGAAGCTAGAACAATATCCGAGAGAAAAACTTGAAGCTAGAACATAAGAAAATCCTTGCTCCTAAAAGCTAGAACAACCCGAGAGCGAAGGAAAAAATCCTTGCTCCTAGAAGCTAGAACAACCCGGGAGGACAAAATCCTTGCTCTAGAAGCTAGAAGAGCCCGAGCAGGCCAATGCAGGCCCTCAGATTCAGCGACTATGCCTCTAGAGCGCCTAAAATACGCGATTCTTAACCTGGAAACTCTTTCCCTACTCTGGAAACGCTAGAAACGTACCTGCAAGTGCCCTCGACGTCGTGGATGAGCTTCTCGACGAGCTTGTCTCTGAGCTGCGGCCCAAAGAATCGCGGATGGAGCTGGAGATTGCGCTCGAGGCGGATATGGAAGAACATCCCTTCACAGTGAATGGAATTAGGGTTTATCACCAAACGCGTTTTGTCCTTTTAGTAGAGAGCCGTCTAGGGTTTGATCGAGGATTTTTGGGATCGCGATCGGCATCGGCGAGCGCGAGCTCTTCCCCTCTGTCGTGCTGCTCCAGGCGCTGCGATTCCGGTGGTGTTTCCTCTTCCCCGAGCTAGATTTCCTCCGAAATTTCTGCTTTTCAAGCTCAGAGATGGAGGATTGCTGCGCTGTGTGTGCCGAGCCGCTGGAGTGGATCGCCTACGGCGCTTGCGGCCACCGGGAAGTGTGCGCTACATGCACCGCTAGGCTGAGGGTCGTGCTCGATGATAAGCGCTGTTGCATATGCAAACAGGAGTGTCCATTCGTCTTCGTCACAAAGGTGAGATTTTTTCTTTGGTTTCTTCTCGATAGCGAGCTCACAGAGTAGAGATTCTTGCGTAGGCTCTCGGGGACTATACCAAAGTGGTGTCGGACTTTAGCTCCTTGTCCACTGGCCACCAAAGTGGCAACCTTTGGTTCGAGGCGGACATTGGGGCCTACTTTGACGACGAGGATGAATACAAGAGGATCAAAGCTATGTGCCGCCTCCAGTGCAAAGTTTGCGAGGCTGCCACTGCCACTACTCCTCCTGTCAATGGAGCTGTTCGAGCTGGCCACGTCTTTAGAAACCTGGATACTCTTCGACGCCACATCTTCTCGGCGCACAGGCTCATCATGTGTTCGCTGTGCTTGGAAGGCCGTAAGGTACTGCAACTTGGATGTTGTGTGAGTGTGCTAAAGTTTTCCTCTCCTCTTTGCAGGTGTTCATTCAGGATCAAAAGCTGTATACCAAGCCACAGCTCGAGCGCCACTCTTCTAGAGGAGATTCTGTCGTGGATGGGAATGAGGAGGAGCGAGGTGGCTTCACGGGCCATCCTATGTGTGCCTTTTGTACCAGGAGGTTTTATAGTGACAACGAGCTCTACCACCACATGTCCACGGAACATTTTACGTGCCATCTTTGCCAGAGGTAAAAGTGTCCACCTTTGGTGCAGCTTCTCATTTTCTCATTGTGTATCCAATGCAGGTTGAGGCCTGGACAATTTGATTATTATGAAAACTACGACGACTTGGAGGTAGGAAAGCTCACCTCGTTGACACGTCACTAGTGAGTGTCCTTTTTCTACAGAGTCACTTTCGGAATGAGCATGCTCTTTGCGAAGATCCTGACTGCCTTGCGAAAAAGTTTGTTGTGTTTGCTTCCGAGCAAGAATTGAAGGTGAGCGTAAGAGATTGTGTCGTCTACTTTAGACTTAAGTTACGTCGTTTAGGTTCACAATGCCAAAGAGCATGGAGGGAGCCTGACGCGTGCTCAGCGAAACGCAGCGCTGAAGGTGAAGTTTGTCCGCATGTATTTCGCCTGCGCCGTAGCTCATGGTGTCAAATTCCAGATTCCTGTTAGCTATCAGTTCCGACGTTCTCCAGGCCAACAAACTTCAGAGCGTGGAAGAAGCTCGTACTATAGAGGCAACCGAGGGAACGACTTGAATGCCGAACTCTTGTCTTCGCCTCCCAGGGAGACCGTTGTCCCGCTCGCATCCGAAGACACTGATACCTCCGCTGTGGCAAACAACCCCGCGCACTTCCCCGCGCTTGCTCCATCCGAAAGTGCTGCAGCAAGCGCAAGCACTAGAGAGAACACCGACAGCGCGAGGTGGTATCGTACTGCGTTACACGGCGGAGGCCGCTCATCTCTCAACGAGTCCGCGTTTCCGCCATTACCTGGAGCAGCTCAGCCGCAGCATTCTCGGCAGCAGAGCCAGCGTCCGTTGGCTTCGCTCATCGCGGCCGGAGGGGCCGGAGGAAAGAAAGTCAAGGTTCTCAATGCAAAGCAGCGAGCTGTTCCCGAGACTCGCCCCCCCGAAAGTCGAGCGATCATCACTCTAAATCCTTCCGAGTATCCGGAGCTGCAAGCCGGCCACTCGAGTAGTGCTCTCGCTGGGCGCGGACCTCCCCTGGGTGTCCCCGGCGCTGGCGCCGGAGGTGGTGGAGGTGGATCTTCTCACTCGAGCAGCAGCAGTACCGTGGTACGTCCTGCCAGTGCCGACGTCGTCCAGTTGAGCATGGACGAGATACGAGCTGCAACAAAAGTCTTGATAGAGGAGATACGATCCCACTTGAAAGGCAATGAAGACAAGTTCGCAAAGTTCAAGGAGGTACACTCGCAGTTTCGAAGCGGGGAACTGAGCGCCAAGTCATACTACGATCAGGTGGCGAAGCTCGGCTTGTCAAACATTCTTCCGGAGCTGGCTCGACTGTGTCCGGACCGAAGGAAGCAGGAGGAACTGCTGGACGTGATGAAACAAGGCAGAGCAGCAGCAGCAGAGAAACCAAGGAATGGATACAGGGACCCGAGCGGCGACGGCGCAGCCAGACGAAGAGAAAAGCAGGCAGCAGTGGAGGAGGACGTGGAAGTTCTTTCCACGGACGGATACCGTAGAAAGGGAGGGAGTGGGACAAGTTCGTCATTCCCGTTGTTACCTTCGTCGTTCCCTTCGTTGTCATCGTCGTCGTCGCCGTCACTCTCGGTGCTGTACAAAGCCAAAGCCGAAGCTCCTCCCGGTACGTCGGATTGGAGCTGCGAGACGTGCACGCTGGTAAACCCGTGGAGCAGCGTCCACTGCGCTGCTTGCGGAGCTGGGAAGCCGCTCCATCAGCCGGGTGGAAACAGCAACAGCGGCAACGATGTGATCAAAGAGGCTGTGGATACGAAGAAGAAGAAGAAGGTGCCAAAGTTTCTCAGGAACAGGCTTGGCTCAGACGTGGAGGAGGAAGAGACCAGCACTGTGGAAGAAGTACCGGCTGGTGCTACTACTGCTACTACGACTCGCGGGGCGTGGAGAAACGGTGGTGGCCATCGCTTGCTAGCTGTGACATCATCTTCGTCATTGGGTAACCGGGCTGGGTGAAAGTTTCTCTCGGTTTTTCTTCTGTTGGCATCTTTCTTTCTTCTAATGCCACACAGAGAGAAATGAGGATGAGGGGAAAAGAGGAAAGAAAGAGGAACCAGACAGAGCAGGCTTTTTGGAAGATCAAATTTATGCTAGCTAAAGTTCTGAAGTTCCATTGGATGGATCATCGTGCTTTTTTTGGGGGGATGAAGAGAGGAGGTGGACAACGGCTGTAAGCGGAATAAAATGCTAGGATGGGAGGAGATTTGAGAGATCGATGGGATTCTAAGGTGGAAGCTTTTCCTTTTCTAAAAGTTGATTGATAGTATATATTTTGTGTTATGTGCCTATACTTACCTGGACGGATCATATATGTCCGCTCATAGTATATATATATATTATATGTATGCCATCTTTTCTTCTAATATTTGCAACAAAAGAATGGCTAGGACCAAAGTTTGTCTTAAAATTTGGCTGTGTTTGTTCTACTCTTCGCTGCACAGTCCTTGGCATTTCTCCTTGCATCTCCTGAGCTCCTTGCGAAAAAACAAAGGCAGTGTTGGTAATAAAATCAAGTTGGAGAGAGCTTTTTTGTTGAGATTCTCTTTTTCTCTTTTTTTCTTCTGTGTTTATACCTCTTTCATCTGTTCAATTTTCTCCTTGAGCTGCTTCATGTATTCCATTGCATGGTTGAGCATGTCTGCTGTGTTGGTTTGCTGGGCAAAGTTGTAAAATTATATTAAACTTGAGAAAGGAAATCCACTGAACCTTGTCCATGTTTGGGACGAGATCATGCAGCCGCTTGATTCCCTCGCTGATCTTGGTCCTGCGAACCTGCAGCCACGGAAGCCACGGAGATCAGAGGCTGAATTCATTCGTGCGCCTCGAAAACAAAAGTAGGCAATCTCTAGTTCTTCCCAATCTTTGCGCAAAGATTGGGAAGAACTAGAGGGTGGTGGAAAGAGAACGCTCTGGAAGGTGATTCTGTAATGGAGGTTGCGGAAGGTCGACTTACTCGCTCTGCGACGCTGCGGGGATGAGTGGCGCATCCCCGCCGGGCTCGCAGCTTGCAGGGCACCGAATCCTGCAGCTCCTTCCGCAGGCTGAGGTGCCGCGAGAGCACCAGCGCCTGGTGCTCCAAGCCGCACTGATCCTGCAGAAACCTCCAGCCACTTAGAACCACGAAGCCTGCCATCCAAGCACTCCAGCCATCGACTTGGAGCTAAGGGAAATCAATCAAGTAAACACAAGTAAAAAAGAAAGGAAGTCACTGAAGAGGAATGGTGGCAATCAAACACCCGACGAACTTTGGTGTGAATTCGCACAAGAACACGCACGAGGAGCCGAATCTATAATCTATACAGAATACAAGAGGATCAAACGAGAAAGAGCGAATAACAACAAGAAAACGAAGTCCAGGAGTCTTGGTGTTTGGAGCCAAAGAGAAATTTAAGAACAAATAAAAAGGAGAGAGTGCACTGAACCTGTAGATACGCCTCCAGATACACACACACACACCAGAGAATGAAGCAGTGAAATTCATGCAGGACTGACAAATATATGCTGTATAAACAAAGAACAAAGAACCACAAAGCCAGATTTCCAGCGAAGAACACGAAGAACAATCGGACACTCACTCACCTCGTCGCAGTAGCCAATCTCCTCGGCGAATTGCTGCTGCTGCTGCTCCACCACCTGATCCGATTCTCGAAGCCGCTTCCTGCTCGAGGCCACCTGATCGTGCATGCTCATGATCAAGGCCCCGCCGCCGCCGCCACCTCCGCCGCCACCACCGCCGCCATCCCAGCTCCCATCTCCTCCTCCTCCGCCGCCGAGCTCCACGTTAACGCCAGGAATTCTGGACGCCGAGAGGCTGTCGCTGCTGGATCGCGCCAGCGGTTGCAACAACGCGGGGATGACCAAGCTCGCGGCGGCGGCAGCGGCAGCGGCGTGGTGGGCGGAGTGGTGGTGGTGATGGTGGTGGTGGTGGTGATCGCTGGGACTGGAAATGTTGCTACTCTCTCCGCCGCCGCCCCGGCTGGCCATTCCCTCGACAAGCTTGGAGAGGAGATCGGCGGGGGAGCTCTTTTGCTTCACCAGCGCGAGCCCGCCACACTCGGCGGCGGCGGCGGCGAACAATGGATTGGTGCTGGCGGCGGTGGGATCGTCGTCGAGGTCCTGCGGATGAATCATCGCTGCCGCTCGCTGCGCATCGAATCCATGACTCGCCAGTGCTGCTGCCGCGGCCGCGGGGTCGAACGCGTGGTGATCGATCAGAGGCATGAAGTGGTGGTGGTGGAGCGATGATCCGCCCGGCGACGCCGAGGACCCGCCGCCTCTAGCCCCGCCGCCTCCTCCGCCGCCGCCGCTGCCTATCACGGCCGAGGAGGACGAGGGAAGGTTCAAATTGCTGCCTCCGCGGCTCCTCTCCAATTCGTGCGCCTGTTCTTGGTGGTGGTGGACGCGAAACGCGAGTGGGATCATCCCTCCCGCGGCCTGCTGCTGCGCGGAGGAGTGGTGAGCCTCATACGAGTCCTGATGATCATACTGCTGCTGCCCGGCGCTGTCGATGCCTGATCCCATCCTCGCCAAGGCCACGCTTTGCATGCTACCATTGCTGCTAGAAACCCCAGCTCCTCCTCCCGCTCCGCCTTGATCCCGGGAGCCATTGCCAGTTCCTCCAGCTCCTCCAGCTCCAGCTCCAGCTCCATCCAGGCTGAAAATCTCGTTGGTGATGCTCATATTGATGTTGATGCTGTTCATGTCTAGATGCTGGTGGGGGATGACTTGGTGGTGAGTGATCTGCTGTTGCTGCTGCTGCTGCTGCTGCTGCTGCTGGAGGGGACCAGGATCCATGAGGCTGCAAAGCAAAGATCCAGGAGCAGAATGGTACCTCATCAGGCTTTGCTGCTGCTGCTGTTGCTGCTGCTGGGATTGCTGTGTTTGCTGCTGTTGCTGCTGATGGAGATGGTGGTGGTGGTGGTGGTGATGGAGCTGCTGCTGATGGTCATGGTGAAAGATCAAGCGGCTCTCATTGGCGGCCTTGGAGGAGCGCGCGTCTACTGTAGAAGAAGTGGTAGTCGCAGTAGTAGTAATGCTGCTACCGAGACCACGATCCGCAGCAGCAGCAGCAGCAGCAGCGGCAGAAGGCTCCATTGGGTAGAGATTATATTATTTTCTTTACCCGAAAAAAAAAACACACACACACACACACACACAGAAGGAAAAGAAAGAAGAAAGAGCAGTAAAAAAAAGGAGAGAGAGAAAAGGAAAGGAAAGAAAAACGCGCTCAAACTTTGAAGTGATCTTTGGAGGTAGGAACCATGGATGAGACGTCCAGCGATCGGTGAAATTGCGTCTCTAGGCACCTGTGGAATCGGCCAAATTGCCCGCTGCAAAGAATTCCTCGTTTTGCTTTTTTCTGTTGTTCGTCCTTCCTTTTGTAGCTTCTAAATGCTGCTGCTGCTGCTGCTCCAACAATAGAGAGATCGATCGAGTGATTCCATGACTCAAATCTACTTCTTGTCGAGGAGAAACTGAGCGAGGCCTAGTTGAAGACACACTTAGATTTGTTCTTCTCGAGTCTCGCAGTAGAAAAGGAGAGAGAGAGAAAGACCACTATGGTCACGCATCGAGTCAGTAGCCATATCCAATCCTTGTGGGACTGTTCCTCGGAATAGCTGTGAAAACACGCCACGGATAAAAGCCCAGGGGGAAAGGGAAAGAGAAGAACTGCTTCTTCTTCTTCTTCTACAAGCTCTCCTCTACGCAATCGTATTTAAATTTCTATCAAATGGCCTACACAATCTCTACACTAGACTCTATGCGCCGCAAAGAAAACTCCTCTCCAATCCATGTTTTTCCCTGTACACTCTAGGAGCTTCTATTACTTAGAGTTCCAAAGTTTTGATTGATCATGGAAAACATACCAAAACAATCTGACAATGGGCATCAAAGGGTCAGTAAGTGAGTGACACAACTTAGTACTGAGATTTTTTCCTTCCCTTTCTCCCTTTTTTTCAAAAAAAAAAGGCCTTTTTTTTTTCCTGGAGTATTTTATTCCAGATTTCTCTTTGGTGCTTGTTTTTGCTTGATTTTCTCCTGCATTGCTTGCATGTGTGTGTGTGTGTGTGACTCAGTGAGTTTAACCTCCCCCCAGTTGGTACGGCAAGACAGCCCGTATCTGGGAGGCCATATTCGGACCGGCCACAAATACACTGTGACCCAAGTACGGACAGCAATCCTTACCCGCATTTATATTTCGCGGGCCATGTAGCCTGGAATCTGGAATCCGAGAATCTGGCCACGTCACATTCCTATACCTGCCATGTGTGAGAACGACAGTCGTCCGATAGCTTTCCGAAATCAGCGCGGCATGTCCGTCCGATTCGGTGATCCGACGGTCACTTTCGGGGGGAAATCTTCCCACAAAGGGGTAACTTGACCAAAAAGGAAAGAGGCGTCACTTTCGCTGCCAGTTGACCCTTACTTGATTTACCACAGCGGTAAATAGTGGTCGTAATCATTGGTGGACAATTAGTAGCGTTTTGCGCCCATGATTTAGCGTATATTGCATTGGGTGGAAAGTATAAATCACCTTGAACCATGAGATAGAAAAAAACTAGCTATCCCACCCTGGGTTAAACATCCATGATTAAGCGTATATTTCCATTTGGAAAGTATAAATCAGATAAAAAAAAATTACCCATCCGAGCACAGGGCAAAACATTCCACCAAGGGTCAACCGACAAGTGGACATAAAATAACGGGGGCTTCTCGTCCAGTTCCCTTTAGGGGGATTTGCCGAAAGTGACGTTGTCACTGGTGATTTCACTAACACGTGGCAGCCCCTCGGTCAGGGTGACGTGGCGATTTTGCGGAAAAAAGTCCTGGCCACCACTTTTTCCGTACACTGGGGCCAGTGTGTTGCTGCTGGTCCGATAATGCCCACACAGATACGGCAGGTTCTCGTACCAACTGGGCGAAGGTAAAAACCGCCAAGAAGAGAAGAGCGTCACAACATCACACACACACACGACGCAATGCAATGCAAAGCCAAGCCCAGCAAAGCCAAGCTATCTCTCTCTCTCTCGACGAGCAGAGTTAAAGCAACTTAAATGTACCTGTGTACGCACTGACGCTTGATGTCCCTCTGTCAGATTCTTTCGGTATGTCTTCTTCGCGCTCGCTCGCTCGCGATCGATCGAGAAAGCCTCCAAAAGCAAAACAAAAGCGAAGTTCCGGTTCTAACGAACGATCGATGACATTAGACACGACGACGCAAACTTCGAAAGCTTTCCAGGCCAGCAAACCAACGAACCGAGACTAGCTGAGCTGAGCAGGCGGACGGACAGAGAAACGGAGTTTACCCGAGAGGAGTTCGTTGGCCGTGTCGAGAGAAACCAAGTCCAGATTAACACCAACACGCCCCCGGTCTCGTCTCCATTCCTTCCCTCCTCCGTAGAGCATTTGGTTCCGACGAACGAAACACTAAGCCTTCACTCCAGCTCTCTACAACAAACACGGGAGTTATTAGCAAGCGGCCCCGAATCTGGAAGTTATAACAAATGCAGAAAAAAGGTACACTGCATTACCTGATCAACATGTGCACTGTACCATGACACCCACTGCTGCTGAAAAAAAAACTTCACCACACATCAGCAGAAGGCGCAGAGCTGAGGCTGAGAAACAAGAACACGAGGTTAGGACCCACAGACAACCTTAAAGGACGACGAAGAAAGAAAAAAAGGGAGCGAGAGATCTTGTCAGAGAGAGAGCCACATACTTCCTAATGTCGTTTATTCCAAGAGCCAACAAAGAAGAAGAAAAAGAATATCAAAACTTTCCCATCCCAACCACCAGTCTACAAATGAAGCCGATGCGTAAGAACGAGCAAAAAAAAGCAGCAGCAGCAGACGAAACCGAAAATGAAATGAACACAGAATGAAAGCAAGTCTAAGGAACAGCAAAGCAAACGAAAGCAAAAAAAGAGAGAGAAAGAGAAAAAAAGAACTCACTCTCGTCCAGCAAACATCTCTATGCAGTCAACCGTAAGGGAAAAAAAAAAGCATTAAAAGAAAGAAAGAAAAACGAGAAACAAAATGTACTCCGTCATACGAAAACTCAATGCACACTCTCTGCTGCTGCTGCTTTACGACGGAATTGGCTCGTTGAGCGAGAGGGACGCCAGCTCTGTCGAGGGCGACCTCTGGGCCTGCCTCAGCACCTCCATGGCCTCCGCAACTTTGGCTTTCAGAGCATCCGGTGCCTCGAGCAGATGGAGGATCTCAGTCTGGTCCATCTCGAGCAGCATACCAGTTACCTTTCCGGCGTGGTCATGCTCGAGCTGGTCGACCAGAGGATACAGCTGCTCTCCCAGCATCTACACGCAATCGAGACTCGCGTAAGAAAACGGTGCACACGGGACGTACCAAAAACAAATCCAAATCTACGTACCACTCGTTGGTGCTCGGGAGACGCGGAAGCCAGAGCGGATGCAAGCGCACCGATGGGTAACGACGGCGGAAGCGGGGAAACAGGAGTCAGAGGCACGCTTGGTATCTCCAGCGGAACAGGCAGCACATTCACGAGTTGCGGTGGTACGGGAACTTCGGGAGTGTTCCTGGCCGAGGGAGTGTACCGGAAATTCCGATTACCTCGGATCATCTGAAACGACGGCAAACACCCATGTCAAATGGATGCAAGAGGTTACGAAGTACAATAAGTATTCGGTGAACCTGTTGCTGCGGTGGTGGCAGCTGCTGCTGTGGCACTGGCGTTCCAGCGGCTCCGCGCCGTGCTCCGGCTGCTCGCTGTCCTCCTTGAGGTCCTTGCCTTTGAACAACAGGTACAAAATAACTAGGCAATTGACCGCCGCCTGGCCGCATTCCTAGCATTTGCTGCTGATAAGCAAATCCAGCTGGCTGCAAGACGAAACCGAAAGAACTTAGAAGACATTCCCATGTAGGAGGTGAGTAAATATGTCACCTGTGGAGGCATCAACGCGGGTGGCTGCCCGTAAAACAGTTGCTGACCAAGCCCCGGTGCTCCAGGATGATACATTGGCATCGTAGTCGCAACACCGACGGGACTCCTCATCTGAGCGAACTGAGCCTGCACAAATGATGACTTGAGATAATCGTAAGACCATAGTCCTCGGGCTTACCTGTAGTTTGGCTCGCCTTTCCTCTTTCCTTTGTGCCATGGCAACGTAGATTGGTTTGCTTCCGATCATCTTTCCGTTCATTTCAATCGTCTGAAAGTTCCACATGTTATCGTAACAGTTGCTATAACAGATTAGAATAAAGTAGGCAAACATACCGCACGATTGGCTTCTTCTGGGGCGGAATATGCAACAAATCCTGATCCTTTGCTCTGACCTTGAGCATCCCGCATTACCTGTTACACGATCCCATTTAGCGAGCCAAAATGAAACGCAAACAAAGCATTCTAACCTTGCACGAGGTAATAGAACCGAAATCGGCAAATATTTCGCGAAGCCTTTCATCGTCAACGTCGTCGTCCAGATTCTTCAGGTATAAGTTCGCGCCCTGATATCTGTCAATACGCTCCTTGCGCTCTTGTTCGTACTTCGCCCTGAGCTCTGCCTCCCTTTCGGACTTTTTCTGCGCTCTACCCACGTACCATTCTTTGTCTTCGATTTTCTTTCCATTCAGGCCTACAACAGCCTTAGCAGCCTCGTCCGGATTCTCAAAGTTGACGAAGCCGAAACACTTCGACTTTCCATCGGAGTCCCTCATCACCACGGCGCTTGTGATCTTTCCAAATGCACCGAAAACCTCCTTGAGTTCGTCGTCGGTGGTGGATTCACCCAGGTTCTTCACAAACACGTTGTTGAACTTGCCGTTCTGTTCTCTTTCCTGGCGCCTAACGAAAGGACCAACGAACACCTGTTTCTCCGCAACGAGCATCCCGTTCACCTTGTCAATGGCAACCTGGGCAGACTCTTCCTGCTCAAACTGGACAAACCCATAGCCTTTCGACTGCCCGTTGGAGTCCGTGGCCACCTTACAAGAGAGAATGTTTCCAAAGCTCACAAACGTGTCGTGGAGAGCCTTGTTGTCGATGGCCCTGTCGAGATTCTGTGAAAACACGAAGATTATACTCTCAAACCCGGAGGAATTCAAATACTTCTACTGATAGTACCTTGATGAAGATGTTAGCAGTTCCACTCTTGCGAATGCTAGGATCCCGGTGAGAAAACATGATACGCACAGCCTTACCATTCACAGGAGTGAAGTTAAGAAGCTCCAGCGCACGCGTTGCTGATAATAGAACAAGAGAAAAGGCGTTTAGTGGTACCAATAAAAGCGTGGAAACAAAGCAAAGCACCATACCGTCTTGGACGTTGTTGTAATTCACATAAGCGTAGCCCAGAGACCTCCTCGTCATGAGATCGCGGCAAACCCTGATCGAGAGGACCTGCCCAATCTGGTTGAAGAGATCATACAGCTGATTCTCGCTGACATTGGGATCCAAATCCCCGACGTAGAGCGAGGTCGACACGAACTGATTGATCCCGGGAATCACAGGCGACTGGACCAAAGGCGACGGGAGCTGGGCCATTTCTGCCGGGCTAGCTGCTGTTCTCGAGATTTCTTGGGAAATTGTTTTCGTTTTCTCGCTAGAGAAGAGAAGAACCAGACCTTTTTTGTGATTTTCTGCTCGAGCGCCCTCCGCGATCAACCCCGATCCCTACCGAGAAGAACGAAGACTGCCGCCGGAGATCGATCGCAAAACCCTGGATTAGGGTTGTGAGGAGGAGGCGCTCAAGATAAAGAAGAAATGGGGGAGGAGAAAGAGGAGGAAGGGAGGAGGGGGGATGGAGGGCTGGGCGATGGAAAGAGGCTGACGAGCCCTAACACCGGCCAACAAAGCACTGGGCGAGGGTACATTGGCGAGAAAACCCTGGCACGGACGTGACGCACGGAATGCAATCTAGCTTTAGGACTTAATTAGCCCCGCCGCCGTATGCTTTATGCATTTGCTTCGCTACTTACCAGGCATGTCTAGAGCAAGGCACGAATCTAAAGTTTGATTAAATTTTCTCTACTTGTTTGTCGAAGAGTCTCCCATGACTATTTCTATCATTCTTACGATTCCTAAAATACTATAGAGTGATGGAGCGATGGAAATTTCTGCTGCAGTGGCAAGGAACTTCCTGATAAGAATTCTTCCAAGGACAACGCATATTAACTTCGTCGAACTTCTAAAACCTGGCAAGGGAAAAATCATCCAGTAACTGTAGCAGTTATAAGACTGTGAAGGAAGGAACTTGAGAAGCATACCGTATTAGCTTGACCCTCTAGACACTGGAATTCTGCTCGTTACAGCCAGACCGTATCCTCGCAAGCCAAGGAACTTTGCGGGATTGTTGGTCATCAGCCTCATCGTTCTCACTCCAATGTCTCTCAAGATCTGGAACATCAATACAGTGATCAAACAGAAAGAGAACGAAGAGAAGGAAAGCAAAGAAAGAAAAAACTAACCTGAGCACCAATGCCGTAGTCACGCGAATCCACTGCGGTTTCTTCCACGATGGATTCGCCTCCATCCATCATGCTGTAAGCTGAGAGTTTTTCCGCGAGGCCGACCCGCATTCCCTCGTGACCACGCAAGTAGACGAGCACGCCCCGGCCGGCGCTCTCGATTCTTTGCATGGCGTGAGCGAGACTGTCACGGCACGGGCATCTCAAAGAGCCAAGGATGTCACCAGTGAGGCATTCAGAGTGAACTCTCACAAGCACGTCTTGTCCGTCGCCAATATCGCCCTGAGTACAACTTTAGAGTTGAGAACGAAGGAAAAAAACCAGAAAAAAAAAAAACGAAAAACCGTAAAATGCACACCTTCACATACGCGACGTGCTCAATGCTATTGAGCTTTGATTTGTAGCTATAAGCTTTAAAATCCCCCCACTTGGTTGGAAGTCGAGCGACTGCAGTTCTTTCGACAAGCTTCTCCCTCTTTTTCATGTACCTGGAACAACGAAAATCCCGTCGGCACTGACTCACAAAGCTTCGTTCGTACGTACGACGCACTTTACCTTCCTAAATCGGCAACTTTAATGAATGGAAATCCGCGTTGTGCCGCAAACTTGCTCAATTCTGGCAGTCCTTGGACCGCAAGATGTGTGGTCACAGCAACACTCGGCAGCCCAGCTAAAGTTACAAGATCCATAGCGGCTTCTGCAAAACCAAGCCTGTATAGAACTCCATCTCTATGAGTTCGAATAGGATAAATGTGTCCCGGCTTTCGAAAGTGTTCCGATCTGGAGTCGGGCGACGCAAGCGCAAGAATTGTGTTTGCACGATCTTGGGACGAGACACCAGTTGTCGTCCCCAGCTTCGCATCCTGAAAAAACAGGCTTTGCATTCAGCTATCTATGCATTGGAAGAACAAACAAGCTTAACATACCACAGACACCGTTTGTGCTTGCTCCGGCGTAGGTTCGTTCTCGCCGTGCTCTCGAACCATTAACTGGATTCTCAATCGGTCCAAGAGCTTCGGGCTCATGGGACAGTACATCAAACCACTGCCTGCTTTCACAAAGAAATGAGCGTCTTGAGGTGTGATCAAGCTTGCCGCCATCACCAAATGCCCCGTATCTTTTCCGTCGACGAGCACCACGTACTAAATCATCCCAACAAGAACATCGTAAGCAAACACATTGGTTTAAGAAAATAATTCTCTCAATCTCTTACCTTTCCTTCACCGATCGCCTCGATCGCCTCCGATATCTGCGAGAACCCCTCCATTGGCTTGTCCGGATCCCCTTGCACATCGCTGACGAAGAATTTGTCGATGACTGGCGTGATCTGAGCTGAGATCGTCTCCAATCCGGGCGCTCTAGTAGCCGCATCATCATCGGATGCCGCTTTGCAGCACAATCCCGACCTCCGGGACGCGGGAAGTGGAAATCTCACTGCAGCGCCCGGGTAATTCGACGCCCTAGGGGCTCTCGGACACAATGCGGTGCTAGCACCTGGCACTAGAGCCCTAAACATTAAGCAATCCATTCTCCGGGGGTTCGAATCCATAGGGTTATATTTACCATTATAATCTTTAACCATTTTAATTGCCACATCACTAAAAACAATGCCAACAAGGCGCCATGTCACAAAAGCATACATAAAGCTCTAGTCTAAGATGTTGGTAGCGGAGGCGACGTTGGAAGGCCGTTTGTGGGTAAATTATTGGCGGCGCCGCCCTGGCCCTCTCCCTCTTCCACCGGAGGTTCTCCTCTTTCTTTCCTCAATCGATCCCTCTCGGCGATCAAGAACTTCATATCAGTAGACGTCGATCCGGTCTCTTTTTGCAATCGCTCTCTTTCGTCCTGGAGGCTCTTCATGATCCAGTTGACGACTGTCAAGTTGTGGAGTGTGGTCTCGGCAAAGTACCTGGAAGAAGAAACACCAAAGAGAGATCAAGTCGCGAAATGGAAGAGCTCGAAGAACTTTTACCTGTTTAAGTCAGTAACCGAGAGAATCGGGATCAAGTTCTCCTTGGAGAATCGCTGGAGCTTTGGGAGTCGGGGATTTAGATCCTCTTTGTCGTAGACCAGCTGAGAAACCAGGGCGCCCCTCGGCAGGCGATTCAGAGTGATGAGATCCAGCGCCGCCTCTGGAGTTCCAGCTCGCTTGCCAGAGCCTTGATAACGCAGAGGATAAACGTATCCGGGACTTACGAACATGTCCGGCTTCGATTCTGGATTTAAGAGTGCTAAAACGGTGTTTGTTCTTGCACCCACGGAGGCGCCAGTTGCAGTGCCAGATCTTTCGTCCTGGAAAACACAAAGAACAGAAACTAAATCAAAGAAGAGAAGACAGCAATTCTCAACGTTTACATACCACGGAAACTCTCGCTTCATCGGTCATGCTTCCTCTCGCACCAATTTGGAGCTCGTCTAGACGCTCACTGCTCAGCACACAAAAAAGACCTTGCATGCAGTATCGATCGACAAACTGGAGACGATCGGGAGTAACCATACTCGCTGCCATCACCAAGTATCCAACGCTACGTCCATCCACAAGGTCGACAAGAATCACAAACTGCATATAACAGACCCACATTAAGTACTCGCAATTAGCAATTTATTTGTACAAACCTTGCCCGCTTTAATCGCCTTGGAAGCGTCAGAGATCGATGAATAGCCCTCGGTGGGAACATCCGGATCGTTTTCATCGTTTGTGAAGAGATCGCTGATGTAAGGGATGGGATCAGTCTCCTCAATCGTAATCCCTGGCCCGGTATCTACTGGCGCATCTGTGGAAGCCTCGGCCGCCGCAGAGGCCCTCGTGACGAATCTATCGGCCGCATTTCCATTTCTAAAGGCGCTGCTGAATCCTAGACACATACCGCGCCGGAGAATGCCGCCATTGAATCCGACGAAACCGGCGCTCGCGCCCGCTATCCAAACCCTAGGTGCCGGAGCCCTAGCAAGAAGCGCACTCCCAGAGGGCGCACAATATGCCGCCATAGCTCTTTCCCTCGCTCAAGGGTTTGGATAAGGGTTTTAGGCAAATATCTCACGACGACGTGGCAAAGTCTACTTGGCAAGCGATCCGGCCGCTGGACATCGACGGCAAGGATGAACCGATTATTTCTTTCGACTCCGTACATTCCACGATATCTGACGGTCCGGATACGGGCAAGTACGGCAGCGTCTTTCTTCTAGGGTTTTCTTAGGGTTTGTGCGTTCGGGAACCCGGGGGGGGGGATAGCATGGCCGCATGAATCTCAGATCCATCGCCGGCGCGGGATTGCGTGGAAGCAATCTTGACATCGCATCGGCAGGGAGGAAATTTCGGGCGCTCCATTTGCGATGGAGAGCTTGGCGCAGCTGGAGGCCCTGTGCGACCGGCTCTACAATTCCCAGGATCCGGCGGAGCGAGCTCATGCCGAGAGCACATTGCAGTGCTTCTCGACGAATTTGGACTACATTTCGCAGTGTCAGCTCATCCTAGAGAGCTCATCGTCTCCATATGCGCAGCTGCTGGCATCTTCGAGCCTTCTCAAGCAAGTCACCAATCACACCTTGGCGCTCCAGCTGAGAATCGATATCAGTATGTAGCATCTTCTTTCTTGGATTGCCGTGAATTTTTTTCTTTCGTTTTTTTCCCCAGGAAACTATATTTTGAGCTATCTGGCATCGAAAGGACAGGAGCTCCAAGCATTTGTGATCATATCCCTGATCCAGCTCCTCTGCCGTATCACAAAACTGGGCTGGAATGACGACGATAGATTCAAGGAGATCACCAAAGAGGCCATGAAATTCATGTCTCAAGCAACAGTGGAGCACTTCTACATTGGTTTGCGAATCTTGAATCAACTCGTCCAGGAGATGAATCAGGTAAGCCTGCATTGTCCTCGGCTTGCAGCGTTTTTTTATCGTTTTTATTTTTTTTTGTTTATCTGCAGCCAAATCCATGCCTCTCTCTGGCGCATCATCGAAAAATTGCCTGTTTCTTTCGTGACTCGGCGCTCCTCCAGATCTTCCAGATTTCACTTACATCGCTTGGCCAATTGAAACGAGATGGTATGTCTTTAATGTTTCTTTACAGCGTTTATTTATTTCGTTTTTTTTGCAGCTGATGACAGGCTCCGTCAGCAAGCCATGGGTCTCGCTTTAAAGTGTCTTTCTTTTGACTTTGTGGGGACATCGCAAGATGAAAGCTCTGAGGAGCTTGGTACGATTCAGGTGGAGTGACTATCTTGCATGATGCTTGCTTGCTGTAATGTCTGCCAATTGCAGATACCTTCTTCGTGGAAAGGTTTGCTGGAAGATATGTCGACCATCAACTTGTTTTTCGACTATTATGCTATCTCAAAGCCCCCACTTTCAAACCAGGTTTGATTCTACGCTTCACGTACTCTAACAACAGGTTTATGGTAGGCGCTAGAATGTCTCGTTCAACTAGCCTCTATTAGAAGAGCTCTGTTTTCGGGCGAAACTGAGCGCATGAAGTTTTTATCACACTTGCTGTCTGGCACACGCGAAATACTGAGAACTCAACAAGGTTCGGCGTTTTAGTGCCTCCTCTGCTCATTCGGATGGTGTGCCTTGTGTATTCACAGGACTGTCGGAGCACGTTAACTATCATGAGTACTGTCGCCTCCTTGGGAGGTTGAAGACGAACTACCAAGTAAGCAATCCTTTGTTTTATGTAGACTTTTATTTGCTGATGACCTCGCTACCAGCTTTCCGAGTTGATAAGTGTAGAAAACTATAATGACTGGATCCGATTGGTGGCTGAGTTCACAATAAGGTCGTTTCAATCTTGGCAGGTACTACAAATCTGATTTTTTGTTCTTGTTCACCTCCGAATCCTGTGATATCTGTAGTGGGCCAGCGGAAGCGTATATTACCTTTTGGGCCTCTGGTCCCGGCTCGTCTCGTCAGTTCCATATCTTAAAAGTAATTTTCCTAGTCTACTCGATGCGTACGTCCCCAAAATAACGGAGGCTTATATAACATCACGCTTTGATTCTGTACAGGTAACGAAATTTGTTGAATTTTTTTGTAAGATTCTTAATATCCTGAGCAGGCGATCGTTCAAAACAATTTGGCTGAAGATCCTCTTGACAACGAGGAACATCTGCAAGATCAACTTGATAGTCTTCCATTTCTTTGTCGATTTCAGGTGCTGCTGTTTCAGAGTAATACAGATCGCTGATGACTTTGTTTCTTGTTTTTATACGTAGTACGAGAGATCTAGTGCTTTCATCCTGCAATTGCTTGATCCAATTCTACAATCATTCACGGTATGAAGGCATGCTATAACTTCTACAGACGCTAATACATGTCACTGCAGGAAGCCTCACGTGTTCCAAATCCTGCTGAAGGTTCTCGACTTAGTATAATTGAAGGCCAATTAACATGGCTAGTTCATATTATTGGCTCCATTATAAAGATCAGGCAGAATTCGGCATCCAGGTATTTGTAACTACCATTCAGGCTTTTCTTAACATTCTCGCTTTTTGTTCTGCAGTGCAGAGGTTCACGAAGTCATAGACGGAGAACTTTCAGCACGAGTGTTTCAACTTCTCCAAGTAACGGATTCTGGCTCGCATGTACAGGTGTGCTTCTACGTCGTAAACCCTTTTCATAATTTCTGTTTTTTTTTTTCTCAACAGAGATATGGTGAACGAAGCAAGCAACGCTTAGATATTGCTTTACTGTCTTTCTTTCAGCATTTTCGCAAAGTATACGTCGGGGAGCATTCTTCTAAGGTAATCGCGTTGCTATTGGTCCTCTTGTCTTGCTAAACCGTCTTTTTTCATATCAGCAATTGTATGCTCGGCTTAGCGAACTTGGGGTGCAAGATAATTTAGTGGCCTTAAATATTATCGTTGCGAAGATTGCGACCGACCTCAAGTGCTACGCTCAGGTTAACCCTCACGTCTTTATTTTTCCTTTTTTTTTTTATCAAAGCAATCTTTAGTGCGAGGATGTTATTCAACAAGCACTGAACCTTTTTCAAGAGTTGCCTACCGGGTAGGATGTTCAACAGGAAGTTTGCATCTCATTATCTGTTTTCTCTTCTGCAGATACATGAGTGGAAAACTTTTGTTGAAGCTGGATGCTGTGAATTTCATCCTCGCAAATCACACGGTAAGCATATTTGTATAGTAGTGATTTCGCCAGGTTTATTTTCAGTAGTTTGCTCGGTAAAAAACATTTGAAATGTTTGGACAACCAGATACAATGGTTTTGAGGTTGCAGAGGGAGCATTTTTCTTTTCTGGATGAGCCTTCCAACTCGAGGCATCGGACGACGTTCTACTTCACCATAGGGCGGTTGGTGTTCATGGAGGATTCCGTGTCGAGGTTCCGCACTGCAATCGCCCCTTTGCAGCAGGTTTCATGCATCCTCTTCCTTTTGCTAGTTAGTAAGTTTTGTTTCTCTCAACAGGTCTTTCTGAGTTTGGAGGCGACTCCAGATTCGGCATTCAGATCCGATGCTGTTAAATATACCATTGTCGGATTGATGCGGGATTTGAGGGGCATTACAATGGCTACAAACAGGTGGAACTTAAATGTTTGAAAGGTTGCTAAAACTTGTCCACAGTCGGAAAACGTTTACCCCGCTATTCGATTGGCTGTATCCAGCTCATTTCTCTGTTATTATCAGAGCTCTTGGTCATTGGGTAGATACTCCAGAGGTACTCTTACACGCTTGCTGTTTTCTTGTCTGCTTATTTGCTGGTTCCAGGTGACGACCCCGTTGTTGAAGTTCATGGCTGAATTTGTCGTGAACAAGACCCAGCGCCTTACATTTGAGTCTTCATCGCCCAATGGAATTTTGCTCTTTCGAGAGATCAGTAAGCTATTGGTAGCTTATGGAAATGGAATAATGGCACTTCCAACGCCCTCTGACATATATGCATACAAGTATAAGGGCATCTGGATAGCTCTGGTTATTCTTACTCGAGGTTTGCTCTTTGTTGCCTTGGAAGATTTGTCTGATGAAGAGTTTCTTTGACAGCTTTGGGTGGAAATTATGTCAATTTCGGTGTTTTTGAGCTCTACGGCGATCCTGCTCTCGCCGATGCGTTGGACGTAGCTTTGAAGATGTCGTTTTCAATACCGTTAGCCGACATCGCCGCATATCGCAAGGTACTGCTATTAATGAGAGAAGCCAAACACACCGCTCGTTTTTTGTGGCAGGTTGCACGATCATATTATGCTTTTTTCGAGGTTTTGTGTCACCACCATTTGTCGGTCATTGTGAACCTTGACACACCAACATTTTCACATGTTCTGGGTTCACTGGAGGCGGGTCTCAAATCTTTAGATGCCAGTATTTCTTCACAGGTTCGTACCTTTGCTTTTTCGCATTTTGTTTTTACGTTTCCTTTTTTCCTTGACTTGGTGTTTTAGTGTGCAAGCGCTGTAGACAACATGTCGGCATACTACTTCACACACATCACTCTAGGAGAGTCCCCCACCTCACCAATGTCAATCAACTTTGCAAGGCACATACAGGAGCGGCCAAATATCTTCCCACAGGTATGTTTCGAGGCTTTGCTAGCATGATAACCTTTTTCTCTTGCAGCTCTTAAAGTCGCTCTTTGAATTGGTGCTGTTTGAGGAATGCTCCAACCAATGGAGCATAAGCCGACCTATTCTGGCGTTGATTCTAATAAATGAGCAGGTCTGTCGGCTCGTTTTGCTTCTGCTAGGCTAACGTTCTCTTTTCTTCAGGCATACACTGACATCAAGATCCAAATTATTGCTTCACAGGTTTTACTTTATCCCCTTGTCACAAGAGTTTTCCTCGCGCTTTTAATGACCATGCCTTTTTGCTTTGTTATTGCATGCAGCCTCCCGATAGCCAGCAAAAGCTCCTCCTCGGCTTTGAGAAGTTGATGACTGACGTGAACCGAACGTTGGAACCCACGAACAGAGAAAAGTTCACACAGAACCTGACCATTTTCCGGCACGACTTTCTTGCGAAATGAGTACATAGTCTTCACGCATCGAGATTTTCTTTGGTATAAATACTTCCGGAAGCTCTTCTCTAAAAGTTGTGAGTATGTTGTGATTTCTCTGTTTCCTCGGTTGGCTAATCCAATCACTCGTCCAGCTGCAGTTTTGGGCGTTGGGGGCTTTCATCGGTTCAGTTTTGTAAATCAGGTAGTAAAAAAGTTTTCATTCCAGCCGGGTGGCCGGGCTTGAGGGAATTGTTACTCTCTCACTCGGTGCTCGTGCCTGAGGTATGCATCTTCTTTCCATTTTCTTCTCCTTTGTTTTGTGAATATGGAAATCGGATATTATTGGGTATGGTGGGGAAAAGGCTGTTTGGGATTCTCGATTCTCGCTCACACTGAGATTTTGGATTTGGTAGTGTTGGTCGCAGGAACAAACATTTGTAGGTGGAAGTTGAAGAAGAGCATTAAAAAATTCCACCGGTAAGCCATCGCTGTGTTCGTTTCTTTTTAATTGTTCCTCGTTCTTGGTCTTGAGTCGGTCGAGCATTATAGTTTGTCTCTCGAGTTTGCGAAGATGATGAAAGCAACGTGTATGTCTATAAGTTTAGACTTTTACATGGATGCCCGCTTGTCGGTGTCTTGTCTTTACTCTCCAACCCAGCAGCGATCAACAGGCAACCAATCAGTGGTGGTGGATCCAGATTTTTTTTCTTATTCAATTCCATCCATTCCAATCCACGGCCTGAGGCCTCTTAAAAATCAAGGAAAGTGATCGCACTGAGTGATCCATGATAGAATCTGTTTAGTAGCTAGAGGAAGAGTCTTTGATCTTGCCAATCTATGGTGACCCCACGGCAGTACAAGGACGCTGAGCTCACACTCAGAGGACCTGCGTAATACAACAAAAACAGCTGTTGGGAAGAGAAAACGAGGCTCCAACTTATTCCTTGTTTACGCTCGCAAAGCAACGGTGATGGCGAGATCGAGAGACTTTTCTTTTAGAAAAAAACGCGCACCCTGTAAACGATTTACATTAGAACCTCACAAGCACAAACGTAACATCGATGTGTTGTACCGTTGTACTAACACCGAGTGATGATGATGCTCCACCCCAACTAAAGTCTCTCAAGAAGAATCTTCTTCTCTCTCTCTTTTTTTTTTCTCTTGCAACATCCTATACATACCTCGTCGTCGTCATACTTGCGCTTGGAAGACAAAGCCACCACTGCTCACTCTCGAGATCGCCGCTAGGTAGGAACAAAGAGACCGTCGTCTGGATCTGGGATTGATTGTCAAGGCTTTGGTGGAGCCGTGTATGTGCACTGCTTGCCCAGGAGCTTGAGGAAGTTCTTGCCGCTGCTGTTCACCGTCACGTCGCACGAGAAGTAGCTCCTGAACTTCGGCTTGACGAGCTTGCCAAAGACGTAGGCCCGCGACGGCAGCGCGGCTTTAATTTGCAAGGGAACGCCGCCACCGGCCTGTGTCAGGCTCTGTAGGTTCGGACCCGCGCCATACAGGGGTATCCTGACAGCGACAACGTTCACCGAAAACGCCCTCTTGCTGTTCTTTGCCTGGTAGAACTTGGCTATCTGTGCGTAGTGGAACTGGAAAACGTTAGAAGAGGAGGAATCGGAACTGGAATAGACTAAGCAGCGACTTGCCTTGCCGGTCCCGACGCTCAGCTGCGTGTAGTCCAGCGTAACATCCGAGTCGCTCACATGAAGCCCAAAGTACTTGGAGGGATTGTGGAACATGACCTTGATCGTGCAATTCGCCGTTAAGACCCGAGTTGGCACGCCTTGGGCACTCCCGTCGACCACGAAAAACTCATTGAAAATGATATCCTGGACACCGCGATCACAGGGAGAACGGAATCAAGACCCGGCTACGTAAGTAATGCAAGCAAGCCCGAGACAAGATGCCATAGAAAAAGCTTCGCAATGAGCAATGCACGCAAGCCCAAAACCAAATTCGCTATCCTAGAACTTGGAACATACCTTGACTCGCAGCTCCGGGGCGCGAGGCCGACAGACCAACCAGAAGATCATAGCGATGAATCCAAACACGAGGACGCAGCCCAGGAAGCTGAGTCCACACATGCAGCACCGCGAGAGGCCCTTCTTGGCTGCGCCGGGCATTTGCTCCTCCTCCTCCATGATGGTGCCGCCGGGAACCCATGGCTTGTATCCCTTCTTGCGATACCCACCACGGCCGTGAGCATCGCTTCCATACGAAGGCTGTGGCAGCACCTTCCTCGATCCAAGCTTGTGCTGCCCAGACACCGTGTCGGCCGAGGAGGCGTTGGAGGAGCGCACGAACGAGTGATGCATGGGCGACGCCGAGGGGCTGATCATGGGCGTGGATTGCACCGAGGGCTTGTAGTCGCCGTCGTGGGAGTCGCGCGAGGGGCTCTGGACGAAGTAGACCGGATGCCGGGGCGATTGCGGCGGCGAAGGGCCCAGGCTCGTCGCCTCGGAGTCGAAAGAAGCGCGCATTCTGCCGTGGCGCGACATCCCTGCACGGATTCCCTGGATTTCCTAGCGAGGAAACGAGTAGCGAGCGGCCTGGCCTCGAAATATCGCAATGCTGCGCGGCTAGGACGATATTTCGGCGATTCCAGCGCCAGAACGAGGAGAATCTGGCAAACAAGTGGCAAGAACCGAGAGAAACCTGGAGAATCGGCGCAATGCGGGTGCCGGCCCGTTCTTGGAGCTAGAAACTAGAAAACCCTAGGCCGTGGATGCCTGGCACCATGGAAAGAGCGCCCCTCTCCCTCTCTCATAGGCTAGAGAGTGAATGTATGAAAAGCTTTAGCCTGCCATGCTTCATAGAATATGCGTAGGCATTTTCCGGCTGCCTGTGTGGGTAGACACGTCATACTTTACCACCATTCTAATAAACAATGGGTACAGAATCACGATTTTTCTGGATTCCTTGACCGTGTCTTACGGCTCGTAATTGAACAAACTGGTGGTAGTAGTTTTGTTTCTTCAGGTGGGAATTAAAATCAACCTGTTTGGTCACTATTTTTTCCATCACAACATTGTCCTTTTTACCACATAGTATTAAATTAACTAATTTAATGAATAACATTAAACGGATATTTTGGGATATTCTACAATTTAACTGTTGTTATTCATTTAGATTAATCTTGTATTTATAATTATAAACTTTCTAAACACTTTCTACTATATTCTATTTTATTCTGCTCTCTAGTGGTTGAAGATTAATTTGGTGTTTATAAATAATAAACAAACTTTTATTTGATCAATTAGATTAATAAATATTAAATACACTACTATTAAGCAAACAAAGCAATGCTGCATGCAATGCACAACAAATTATTTTTATTTTAATATTGAAGAAAGCTTATGCATGAATATAAATGTAACATTAATCTAAATAAGAGGTAAATGGTAGAATTTCCTAGAATATCCAACCATATTGTAGAATTTTAAAGCAAACCAAAAAAGTAGAAACATTTAATTAATTTTCTGAGCTCACAACTATTTAATTAGAAAACTTTTGTCTAATATTAAATAAAATTTTACAAGAAATGAGGAATCTCAATTCTCCAATGTCCCAAAATATGAAAGATTTTCTTATCAGAAATTTTTCAAAGAACACTCTAAATCTAAATCATAAAGAAGCAATATAATTTTATATATATGTAAAAATTACAATCATGTTTATAATTTATAAACACAAGCCCCATCTGAATTATTCCTCTTTAAATTGGTTTTGCTAATCCTTTTAAATTTTTTATTTATTATTTAGATATTATGATTGCAGAGATCAATTTCTTTATCACTATTATCTGTGCTAAGCCAGCTATACACTTCAAATATTTTCGAACCTGATTTCTCTCCAGAAATTTCAATCCAATCAATATACCATTCCCCATTTTTACTAAGTGTGCGTTGTACTATCATTCTACATATTTTATCATTCTCAGAAAGACATTCTCCTTCAACATCAAATGTGTCAAGATTGCATCTCTCAAAATCATCCTTTCCCTTGTTATCTAAATTATTAAATGTTAATGTACGTCCTGAAAAAGAAGAAAATATAACATCTATGTCAGAATCAGTTCCTGCCCCATTTTCACATCCAGTTTTTATATTAATTGAATATTTACACTGTAGTTATATATAGCAAGTTATTAAAAAAAACACAATTGTAGTAAGTAATGTAAAGTTTACCTGACATTTGACAACTATAATAAAATAAACATGTAGAAACATCAATAACATAAAATATAAATAGGTTGCCATTAATGTTCTATAAGAAAACTTTTTTAGTTAGTTTTCTTTATATATTAGCAAATAAGGCTGTTTTATTAAGCCAAGTGTTAAACATAGAAATATCTTAGTAAAAATTATAGAAATATAAAAAACACTTTTTATAATATACTGTTTTTAAGACTCTTTAACTATTTTAAATTAAAACCTTAATCAATTAAACTAAATTATAGTACTATTTCTAAAAGTAAAGTATATAAACTGAATTTGGTGTTTTAGAGTAGAATATATAATAATTGTATACTTGATATTCATACCATATACATATAGCTAATATTTTGAGGGCAGCATACATAATAGAGCAAATTAATTTAAAGTTTAAGAAAGTTTATATATAAATATAAACACAAGATTAATTTAAATTATGGTTAGATGATAAAATATACTAGAATATCCAGGCAACCCTTACCAATGCTAACCCAAAAAGTAGAAACATTTGATTAGGTTTTTGAGCTTACAACTATTTACTATAAAAATATTGGCTTTTATGATAGAAATAACTTTTACAAAAAAAAGACGAATTAAAATCTTCCACCATACAAAAGTTTTTCTTCAATACTTTGCACTTTTGACATTTAAGCCTTTTACCATATTAAGAAGTGTCTTAGGTTGTGGTATGTGGTATGTGTTGAGTACAATAGCTTGACCATTACTCTCAAGTGATAAAAAATATGATTTAGCATATATATTTTACCATCTAATGGTTGAAATGCAATAATATTAGTTTTGTGTTTATAAAATATAAACATGTTTATAATTATAATTTATATTTGATTAATTAGATTAATAAATAGGAATGACACTACTATTAAAAAATGTAGCATACCTAAATTTGAAATTGAACCCCAAGCCCATTACACAGGTGTAATATACACTCAATATCTTCTACTAACATCAGCTCCTTGTATCAAGCTCCTATATGCAAATTAGTGTCAAACAAAATTTAACACAATTTTAGTATACTGGTCACTTCTAAGAGGTGGGTACCCCACTAACTAAAGTAACATAGAGTTTAAGTTTAGACCCAAGTCAAATATAAAATAAAGAGTTGTAAGGGCTAAATTAACATATCAAATGGTCAGTTATACTTCTAGCAATTGTACTTACTATACCTTTGGAACTAAGGGCATAATAACAGAGGTGTCTAACAGACACAATAGGCTATTATGTAGTGATCCTAAGGGACTGGCTCAATACACGAAAGTTCTTGCCAAGTCAGTACAAAACAGAGCGAAAGAGAACTAAAAAAAAAATTGAGTATACATAACAATAAATATATAAGAGTTTATACTTTATGTTTATTTGGCTAAGTAAAGATACTAGATCCAATTTAGTAACACTTGGACAAAAGAGGCTAATATAAAGAACTAGGAGTACTGATCTCTTGGTGTCATAGTAGTAAGGAGAAAGTGTTTGTAAGAATAGGCCAACAAGTATCCTTCAACACCCAAAATCATATTTGTGACAAAAATGTTGCATACAATGCATAATACATTATTTGCCTTATAAAAATAATAATTGTAAAATAGTGTAAGCAACCAAAAAGAACAAATTGAAAGATAATCCATAGGGTTTAAATATAGAGGGAAAGGGTCCATGAACAAGAGTCCACCCCCTTTTTCAATTGGTTATATGTCTTGGAATATTTGGGTTAAACATTTTTGGGTTTGAATAATATTGGGTTGAGTGACATCTTGGAAGTCTAAATTCAAAAGGTTACAGATGGGTTTAGCATAATATCATCATTTTATATATATATAAACAAGCAAATAGAATGACTTAAGAGATGATCCATAAGGGTTTAAATATAAAAGGAAAGGGCCTAAAAACAAAAGTGCACTGGGATACTTAGGGTTAAGTGTCATTAAGTTTGAATAGTACTATAAAAAGTTCAATTTCAAAAGCTTATATTTAGTATTAAAGAGGTCACACCACATATTAAAATTATTATCTAATAGTCTAATTTGGTCTAACCCAAGGGATAGAGTGTTAAGGGAGCGGGGCTCTCAAAAGAGTTATGGCTTTCAACTTTAATTCACGAGGGCGTGAGCTTAAACAATTCAAAATACAATCTATAAATGTTCAAATATAAATGTAAAAGGCTAATAAACAAGAGTGCACTATCTTTTCCTATCGATTAAAGGTCTAGGATACTTAAGGTTATGTGTCTTTGGGTTTAAGTAGTACTAGGATGGATGACCTTTCAGAATCAAAAAATTATAATATACCTTTAAAAATAATTCTTAACCATTCATAGAAAATACAGTTATTAAGCTTATGGCATAGGTGATAGGGTGTCTAGCTTTGTATTTTTCAAATCACATTAGAAAAACATGCATAACACTTATGATCTAAGAAGATAGAGATATTATTGTGGTGCAGAACTACCTTATGCAGCCCTAGCACTTGGGCTATTCCTTGGAAGCTCAATCTAATTGAGAAGGCAAGTCAAAGATGTTGGCAAAGAGCACATATAGAGCAATATTTCTTGGATTTAGATTGGAGACAAACTCAATATTAAAGGATATATTTTGTAAGGGAGATCAAAAGAGCTCATATACTAGATTTTTTTTTCCATTATTACAATACTTGCTTTATCATGCTAGTAAGTAGATTTGTGAGAATGCAAATATTAATGAGTCTTCTTAATGCTATTTACTTCCTCCTAGATCCATCTGAAAGATATACCTTTTCATATAAAGTTCTACTCTTCTTCAGTGCACTAGCTTCTTAATATGCAACTATGATTTTGATACTTCACTGTGTTTCTTGCTATTTTGGGGTGATAGTGGCTGAATGCACCATAGAAAAAGCTATTTCATTAAAGAGTTATTGAACAAGTAGTGGCAAGGCAAGCTAGGATGATAATTTTTGTGTAAGTCATAAATTTTCATTTTCCAATTTACTAGTTTACCTCATCTATCTGACCACCATTGCCTTGGTCTCAGTTAAATTTCCTCACTAAGGTTCTCATTTATTGTATTAGTTTCTACTTAGATTTAGCTATTCACTACATAAGCAACAAGGTGTTGACCATCTATTCACAAATTCCTAAATTCTTTATTAGTTTCTACTTAGATTTAGCTATTCACTACATAAGTAACAAGGTGTTGACCATCTATTCACAAATTCCTAAATTATTTTTTAATCCCCTTCCCCAAGTTAGACTAGACTTAAAGTTCAGCTACACTCTCGGAAATCCCAAGCCTTGGATGCATCTCTTACTTCATAACCCTGAAGGGAAATATTATGGCATAATAGCCCAGTATAGGTGCCTTTATTCCCCCACTTTAGTCCCAAAGAGAAGGCCTAAACCCCTATGAAGGAGTGAGGACTAATGAGTTGTATGGTACCTAATTAAAGCACCACTTTACATAAGCCAAAAAAATTGTAGTTAGTTTCCCTTTTGGAAGTGGGAGTTGCTTTTAAGCACTTCCTTGGGAAATTTTTTTAGCACCTCTTGAATCTATACTCACTCCCACCCAAAACCATTAACCCTTAATCCTAACCTCAA